AGTATAATCACAAGAATCTCTGACAGTGGAAGACGGGGGCGGAGGAGGCGGCCAGTCCTTTCGGGAACCTGCGAGTGTGGCCTCAAGGAAACAGGATCTCTACAGATGGAATCAGGGAGAGGACACGATTCCAGAGATGAGATGTGATCAACGCTGCCGCTGGCTTTGGAGGGAGGGGACCCCAGCCAAGGGACGTGGGCAGCCTCCCAAAGCTGGAAAAGGCAAAAAAACAAATTCTCCCCTGGATCCTCCGGAAAGAACGCAGCCTTCCGACACCTCGATTGTAGCCCGGTGGGAGCTGTGGTGGATTTCCAACCTGCAGAACTGCGAGAGAACACATTCCTGTTGTTAAGCCCCCTAGTCGATGGCACCTTGTTAGGGCAGCCCTAGGAATCTGCGGTACTGGTTTTCTAGGGCTGCTGTAATGGTTCCATAAACTGGGTGGTTTAGAACAAGGGAAGTGTATTCTCTCAGTTCTGGGGGCCTGAGGTCTGAAATCAAGGTGTGCGTAGGGCCGTGCTCTCTGAAGGGTCAGGGGAGGATCGTTGCTCGCCTCTCCCAGCTCAGGGGCTGCTGGCAGTCCTGCCGTTCCTTGACTTGCAGACGCATCGCTCCCATCTCTGCTCCGTCGTCACATGGCGCTCTCCCTGCAAGTCTCTGTCAAATTTCCCTCTTCTTGTAGGGACACCAGTCACTGGATTTAGGGCCCACGGGAACCCATATGACCTCTTCTTAACTTGATTCCATATGCAAAGATCCTGTTTCCTAATGAGGTCACACTCGCAGGTTTCGGGTGGACAAGAATTTGGGGGGACACCACTCCACCCAGTACAGCAGTCACCTCTTTCTCCACCAGGACAGACCCCAAGCGGTGGCTGTATTCCAAGGAGGGCCTGTCCCCCACACCTCACGGCTCCTTGTCTGGCCTGCATGGCCGTGTTACAGTGGTGGTGGGCACACAGCTTCCTACATGAGCTCCGTTTTCTTCTTCCCCCCGAGTTAGTGGTCCCCTGCATTTCTGCCTTACGCTTTTGCTAACAGGGGGAGGACATGGAGAATGGGGTCCCCCACATACTGGGGCCCCTTTGGGCAGGGGCGGGCTTCCGTTGTGGGAGGGGCCCTTACTCCTCTCTTCTCACTCATCGGACCCCAGCCCAGCCCACCCAGGCGGCGAGAGGAGACCGCCACCTTGGGAATCAGCACTTTCCCACCACCACAGTCCTCAATTTACACAGATGCTGGAATTTCGTAAAGCATATCTTTTATTTCTCCATTCCTAAAAAAAACAAGAGCATGAAGGCCTCCCTTGCCCTGAATGGCCCCCAGCACCCCCATCCCCTTCTCCAGTTCCCTTTAGGGTAAGGTTAGCGCTGTCTGTACAGACGCCCTGTCCTCCCCTCCCAGCCGGCTGCACTCTCCAGTCGAGCTCACCACCCCTCCCAAGCGGGCCCCACGTCCACTCATCTTGCTCAGCAGGAGCACGCGGCAGACTTGGTCTCTCCCTCCTTCTGGAAAGACACCTCTACCCCTCATCTCCTGGACCCGGGAACGTGGGGCGGCTGGAGTCAGATCCCCACTCTATCAACGCTTGTGCCCTCACAAACTCAGCGTCCAGCATCCCCTATCCGCAGATGACTCCAACCCATCTCTGCAGTCCAGCTACCGTGTCATCGACTAGGCGGAAAGCCTTCGGGGCCTGTCTGGGGCAGGACTCCAGGTTTGGGTTCCCTGGGAGAAATCACTGATTAACGACTGGAAGCCTTCAAAGGAGGACTCAGGTAGTGATCTATTTTTAAAAACAACGAAAGACTGCAGCTCTGACTGAGCATCAGGGAAGTCGGGGACAGATACGGAGAATATGCAAGTGAAGATCGTGATCAGCCCATCCAACTTCACCTCCAGCACCGGAATCCTGCAGGTCAAGGGGCCGACCACACGTTTCTCGAAAAAGCCAGGCAGTCTGTGTCGCCTCCTCTACGCCTTATCCGACCTGTTTTGCGGGTCCCAAACCCACGGGAAAATCAGCATGGCTCAGAGGAGAAAAGAGAATGCGGCTCCCGTCCAGTCTCGCCCACTTCTGAGTCTTCGATGCGGGTTAAGTCATTTACTGTCTGGGTTTGCGCATCCACGTCAGCCGAGGTGCCTCTCTCCTGTGGCTGGTTTGCAGGATTCATACGTAAATACGATGGATGGGTCTATCTGGCTCTGTGCTGGGTTCTCTTCCAAAGAGCATTGCCTTTTAGCCAATTTGGCAATTAGCAAATGCTGATTTTTCACATTGTTATGCAGCCTTGCATCACGTGGCTTCTTTTCTTGGCTTTCTTTGTATTTTGTATTTGTCGTTTAATATGTTCTAGTTCAACAAAGCACGTTTTATGTATTATTTCCTCCGAAAGGCTGTTTCAGAAAGAGCAAGGTGTTACAATGAACATTTAAAAATATCTACTCGAATGACTTCATCCTACTTGAGAATGCCCATAAAATACTTGGCCTGTTTCAGTAAGAGTGAATCACTCAATGGTCCCGAGTAACTTAGGGTTATTACAGTACTTCACTCTTTTCTAATGTGATTTGATTTTCAGAGAATGGAACCGTTTTGCACCAAGTGGAACAATTTGGTAATACTGAAGACCATCCATTTTTTATTCCCTAGAATTCAGAAGTGATCAGTTTTGTATGGCCCAATGTAACTTGGAAAGGACTCGCTGTTTTGAAACTTTGCAACGTTATATCCACAGTGCTGTGCTTTCCCCGTCTACCAGGAAGAGGGCATCTCGACCTCTGGATATTAAGAAGGCGAGGTGCTCCAGCAGGCCCTGGGAAGCGGAACCCCCTGGCAGGTTAAAGCAGGACGTATGGATGGAGTGGCACTTGAATGGAACCAACAGAGGCTGGACAGGTCCCTGTTTGAAACCAGAAGGACCATACACTCCTGTGGAAAAGCTGTCTTATTAAAACCTCCTCTGTAAATCTACCCAGGATACCGTGCAGAAATGCAGAGCTCTGGCCCGTCCTCCGTCAAGGAGGGGAAGCAGCTGTGAGCGTCTCCTCAGAGTGAACTCACGTTTGCTTTATGAGGCCGAGAGAAACAGGTTAAGGACGCAGTCTTGAGGGCAGGCACATACTCTTTATAAACCTCCCAACAGCACACTGGTTTTGTGTACTTATTTATTCAGTTACTCTTCAGTGCCACAGGGTGAACCCCATTACTCACTATCTAGAATCAGCTGCAAGATTAAAAGGTTGTTCCTCTGATCGCTTTGTCAGACTTTCAACTAACCTTCTGGAGAGGTTCCCCTTAATCACACCGAGGGCGTTTCCAGCTCTGTACCTGGATGGATTCCATGGGCGGTCCGCTCCCAGCCCTGCCCTGGGTCTGTGGTGGGCGCCCATGTAAGGCCCAGGAGGCTGGGCGAGGACCTGGCCCTTCACCTCCTGCCTCCATGTGCCCAGGAGTCAACACCACGTGACGGGAAGGCTGAAGCGCTCTCGTGACTCCTCCTTTGTTCCCTTTCATGGCTAACTCCCTACAGTGACAACGTACCTTCTGACAGCATGGGTTAATGGTTTTCAATACGCAGTATACCCTGAAGACATGCATTATACCTCTAGGGGATAATGTATTTCCAAGAGCGGTGCTTTCAACACCTCCCCCTGCCCGTAACCCAAACTCCCACCTCCGGCCCCACAGAGAACCCGTGCTGCCCCAAGTCATCTGTCTTCAGTCTGGCCTAACGGGTCAAAAAGATTTCCTCATATTTTTCTGCAGTTTTTCTACACTTTGTATTACAAAAAAAATAAATAAGGGGGGTTTTTGTGTCTGCTTGTTTTCCCCAAATATAAAACCATATGTTAATACAGAGCAGGCTTAAGACTCACGACACCTTGGAAACCTGACAGCTGTGTCCAGAACAGGTGTCCTTCCCTGATGTTCGTCAATTCCTGACTCAGCAAACCATACACCATCCATGTGACGGTTTATGAATTCTCTTGATATCCTTGTGTAAATGCCAAATAAACAAAGACTGTGGACAAACCACGCAAGGGACCGGTTAACGGGTCTCAAATTTGAGGTGCTTTTTGTAATAAAGTTATACCAAAAATACAGCAACAAATAAAGAATAGTTTATTTAACAAAACTAGAACCCCCACGTACATGTAAAACAATACAAAAGTGAGTGGCTGGCAAACAGTTCAAGTTCACGTTTAACACTTGCAATTATCTTTATTACACTCATTCTGTTGAAAGCTCGTTTTCCTTACACCCCCAATAATCAGTTTTCAGTCTTGGTGGTGCCCAGATACACAAGAACTGACCAGGCAAGGTTCCAAATGCCCTCCAGGCTGTCTGCAGCTTGAGATAGGACACGTGCTCTTAAAGATTTCCTGTTGCGTGTTCTGACTTGAGGAAAAAAAGCAATGTCAATAGTTTAAAAAATAAGTATCGTCTGAAGCAGCAGAAAAAATATATTCACTACCGGCCTGTACCAAAGAAGCTGGCAATGGCAAGATTCGCGGCTTAAGAAAGAAACCATACACTTGACCTCTAGATAACATCTTGACAGCATCTGACCACAATTTCACCTCTTAAAACATCTTCCCTTTCTTCAACATAAGTAGCTGTTTATTAATCAAAAAGAAAAAAAAAGTGAGATCATAAGGTTTGTGGGAAGGAGATGAATACATTTGTTTAAAATACTGAGATGCCAACCAACTGACGTGTCGTCTCCAAGACTCTGTGAGCTCCACTGGTGAGTCTGTTGGAGGAAACCAGCGGCAGGATTAGCAGATCTTCAAGACGCCTGCACTGCTGCTCCCAGAGGGCCCAGTGGGACCGGAGACGAGCCACGTGAAGCGCTTCGTCCATCGGGGCCGAAGGAAAGAAGAAACCAAACCAGCTACCATGCAAGTTTTAAGAAAGTCTGACGTTTACGGTGACCTGAAGTCCTGCCTCTTCTCAGAGCACCGCCAGCCAGTAACTTGCCATCGGTTAAAGTCTGAGACCCGACCGGACCTCAGACGCGTCAGGTCCTTCTGCTGGCGGGCGTTCCATTCGCTCGTGATCGCTGGCGGTCGTATCTCACAGAAACAATAAGGAAAAGCAGGAGGGTGCCTCCTTGAATAGCAGCCAGAAGAAAAAAGTAGTAGTTCAAATAGCAGCCGTTAATGTTACCTAAAGAAACAAGAGAAAAAGAGGCACGTGAGCTGCACTTAGATACTTTACAAGATTTTATCTATTTCATTTGCTTCCTACTAAGGTCAGGATGAATTCTAACTGTGGTCATAAAAAAAAGAACAATCATATCTCTGTAATTCAAAATACACAAGCATTTTATTTCCAAAAACACTGCACAAGCCACTCTCACGCCAGCCACATCTCTAACCCAGGCTCCGGATCGGGGCTCTGACTCGACCCCTCCTGCGCGTCCAACTCCAGCGTCTCTCCCTTGTGAGATAAAAGGACGAGGCTCCCGGAGTGCCTGACAACGAAAGGCAGGGACATACCCTACGTCTAGCACACACCCAGGAACCTGCACGGGGCCAGGGGGACGAGTCTGAGAAGATGGATGAGATGAGGACTAACGGAAAGTGTGAGCCACACGTCCACCTCGGAAGAACCAGCCGCAAGAGAAAAAACGGCAAGTCTTTTCTCTTGTTTGTTATGTTTTTTTTCCCACACACAAAATGTGGGAAAAACTACCTTCCCGTGTTCTTGCCACCAGAAGCAGCATCTGGCAGATGGTGTATTTCCGTTCAGTCTGTTTTCACGCAGCGTTTCCCCCTCGACTGTGGGAGGGAATTTCCTAGGGTCATAGTCACACCGGCACGCAGAACTGACGTTTCCCAGGAGGGGCGCGAAGACAAGCAGGGAGTACCTGACTCGCTCCACACCAGATCCCAAGCGGCTGTCTTCCTAACTCGGGTACAGAATGCGGACACGTGACAGCACAGACAACAGGGGAACACAGCCTGACAGCACGGCCGGCTGAGTCCTGATCCAGCTCGAGGTTCACTGACACACACGACACGCCAAGGGGCCCTTTATGAGCCAGGCAATCGGCTGAACTTACATTCCACATACTACAGGAAGACACAAGTTTGCTTTTTAATTTTTCCTAAAAATCTCCAGGTTTTAGCACCCTCAAGTTGATGCAGGTGTGTACTTTAGCCCTAACAGCTAACACGCTGAATGCTCGACTCTGCCCCAAGCGTCACGTGAGGCAGGGCACACGCGGTGCTCCATCTGGTTCCCATTAATCCCGAGGAGGCTGAAGGGGTTACAGTCGTGGACCGTGGGCTCAACCAACAAGGTTCAAGCGTGAGTGGCTTGGTATCTCTGGGCCCAGCTTCCTCATCTGTGAAAGGGGGAAACACTGTACCTGCTGGAAAGTGTGCTCATACGGGGTAAACGTGTAGGTAACGTATGCGGACAGTAGCTGGGACCCAACGAGGCATCCTCAGGGCCTGCCATCATTACGATCTCCACTCTGCACACAGGCCCAGTGCTGTCAGGTCTGTAAACCGATAGTCTTTCAGTGGAGAACTGACCACGACCACTCAACATGGAGATGCAGGGAGGGTGAGTGTGTAGAAAATGTAGGACAGTTTGTAAGGAAACGTCCAGAGCCACTCACAGCCCGTCACCCTGTGCTCCCTGCAGACTGACCACACCACCAGGCAACCCTGCCTCATCCTCACGGCCCGAGGATGGCGCACCATTTACACCGCTGGTCACCCACTGAGGAGGACCCGACACGTCTCTGACAGGCGAGCAGGGAGCTCTCTGGTCAGCAGTGTCCCTACAGGGGGCCAGCATCTCAGAATGAAAGCTGCTGTGAGTGCCGACGGCCTCAGAGCAGCTCTCAATCTGTTTATTAAAAAAGTGCGACTTCCTTTCCTCCAAAGCTCCCTGTAAAGCTGGGTTATTCTGGAACTTCCTGTTTCTACCTGAACTCACCAATATTAGATGTTTAACAATGCTTTTATCAAATACACGGAATTAACGAACGGCTATAACACACGTTTGTACAATGAGCACTTACACATTTTTAAGAAATCCTCATTCACACAGGCTGTAGACAACGATTTCCTGCGTTTATTGTTTTCAGAAGAGATCTCGTAATACCTTTAATTTCGGTCAGACTGGGCTTTATTGATCCGACAGACACTTATAGTAGTGATGTAGGTCCTCACTACGTGCTGGCTCTGTCCTGGACACAGAGACAGCCCGCTTCAGGGAGCCCTGTGTCTGCTGGCACCACTACCACAGTGTTAGCATTTGATGCCACCACAAAGCTGTTGTCAAAATATCAATGATGTCATTCTACGTGCTGATTTTGACATAGGAATCTCCCCAAATTAAAGAGATGATCATTTAAAACTCCCAAAGCTCAGGGCCGGCCCCGTGGCTTAGTGGTTAAGTGCACGCGCTCCGCTGCTGGGGGCCCGGGTTCGGATCCCAGGCGCGCACCAACGCACCGCTTCTCCAGCCATGCTGAGGCCGCGTCCCACATACAGCAACTAGAAGGATGTGCAGCTATGACCTACAACTATCTGCTGGGGCTTTGGGGAGAAATAAATAAATAAACTTAAAATAAATAAATAAATAAAACTAAAACTTCCAGAGCTCAAAGCTGGCAGGCCAGGTAGACTGTACACCGGGTTTATCCCGCGGGGCAAAGAGAAATGTACACCGTTCCCCCGCAGTCAGTCCGGTTTGGGATGAGGAAGGGTATTCAGAAACGGGGCCACACCTAAGAGGAACCCCCCTGTACCTTCCTGGGCCTCTTCACATACTGCAGGAGAGCCCCATACAAAGGTGGTAAACACGAGTTTTACATTTGATAACATCGACTTTCAGGCCCCAAAGAAACGAGCTCATGGGCCGGCCCCGTGGCTTAATGGTTAAGTGCGCGTGCTCCGCTGCTGGCGGCCCGGGTTCGGATCCTGGGCGCGCACCGACGCACCGCTTCTCCGGCCATGCTGAGGCCGCGTCCCACATACAGCAACTAGAAGGATGTGCAGCTATGACATACAACTATCTACTGGGGCTTTGGGGGAAAAAATAAATAAATAAATAAATAAATAAAAGAAACGAGCTCATATGTCCACCAAACATTCATTAGAGTTCCCAGCAGCTTGATTCAAGGCAGCCCCAAACTGGAAACATCGGGAACACCTCTCAGTAGCAGGAGGGACGAATAAACTGTGACATATTCGTACAGTGGACACCCCTCAGAAACAACAGAGATCTCATTACTGGGGATGCCTCTCCTGGATGTAAGTGCCAAGTGGAGACAGCCACGACGGAGCACCAGTACAGATGAGGCTCAGAGTGCTGACGTGGGACAGTGTGATTTTGGGGGGACGGGGGTTAGCTGAGAAAGGACACAGGAAGCCTTTCGAAATGTTCTGCATTTCAATCTGGAGTAAAAACACGTCAGGCTGTGCACTTAAGACCAGCGCACTGCACAGTACGAATGTTAACCCCAATCTAATAACCATAATCATCAACAAGAACAGCAGCCAGCCCCCCCAGGACAGGCAGAGAAGGAAACCGACAGGAGAATCTGGGGGCTCGTCCTTGACCTCAGCCCCCTGACCCCACGGGAAGCTGTTTCAGGCGTCAATCCTGAGATGCTGAGCCAGCTCCACCTCCAGCCGCTGCACCACTCACCGGGACACGGATGCGGGGGGGGGGGGGGGGGGCGCAGAGAGAAGCTGAGGGAAGACGTGAAATCTGGGATTACGTGTGCCGCTCCTTCTAGAGAAGAATCTCTCTTTGGGGGGCGGGGGTTCCCTGGTGCCACTTTCTCCCTGCATCAGCCGCCTCTGACAGCATCTGCCCCCGAACGAGAGGGAGCTGACACCCACATCACTGTCCTAACTCCCCACCCAGGACATGGGGCTACGCGCAGGACTGACACAAACTCTCCTTCTTGACGTAAAAACCAGGAGGGACCCCGTGTGCTGCTGGATGCGGTGTGGGGGCTGTCTGAGAAAACACTACACATCATGTCCCTCTCGTGAAAATAACATCAACAAACAGAACCAGGTCTAACCCCTGCACATGTGTGCTGGATGCACGAGTACTGGAGACGAACCTCAGGATGCAAAGTTTAAAAGTAACCTGTCAGAAACAAATGATGAGTGACAGGTAAACTGTGAGATTAAGTTAGCAATGAGGGGATCAAATCGCTGGAAAGCAATGAGAGTGACAAAACCAATCAATCCTTTGTGATACATTTAGAAATAAAACAAAAACTATGAAATAAAATCAACACCTTAAGAACTACAGGGCTTTGGTCTCTGTAACAAGTCTCTCTTTGAAGGAGGTTGTCCCATGTACACAGTAGATTCTGTGAATGCAGGAATCTCAGGAGAATGCTCAGAACCCACTGTGTACCTGGACCTTATGCAGGGCCGTTTATCCTCCAAGGGTTCTGGGAATGAAAGCCACAGCCCCAGACCTGCCTGTTCTCCCAGTGCACCCAGGCCCAAGCCTGCCACGCAGACTCACTCCAACCAAGGAGCACATCCTGACAGCGCCCTGGGGGCGGCGGGGGTGGCATGGGTTTCTGGAAGTTACATCAGGACTCCATAGGCCTAAATGCATCCCTTAGGACAGGAAATTTAATTCAATAATGGAAGGGCTTCTGGAATTCTGCAATTTCTAGAGCAAAGTCTCTAAGCTTTCATCAGACTTTCAAGGGGATTTATAACCTAAAACTGGCTCGGTACCACTGGATCTGAGCAAATGCTACACAGTTATACAAGACAAAGGAATAAGGTTGTTTTCATAAGTAAAACACAAAAGAAAAGAAAGACACCTTCATCTCCTGGGTCCGTTTAAAAGCTATCATAAATCTGGAAACGGCAAAACGCTCATCTTTTGTGAGTGAATTTGTTCAATACCCCAAGATGCCACCTACTGGTATTAGCTGTAAAATCCCATTGTGATTGATCATGAGTAATATTTGTTTACTAGAAAAAAAGCCCATTTATTATATGGGTTTTTTTAATAGCAGAAAATTAAAAGGTACTGTCAGGAAAAGAAAAAAAAAAACCCAAGGTAAATGAAGGAAAATTTGTGATACAGATTTTACTTGCCTCATAAAAGTAGTGCTGGACATTAAGGTAGAGAAGCAGTCTATTCATCACAGATATTCCAAGTAAACAGCAATAGTGTAGCAGTCGACTGACCTGGCCACTGGGGGAGAGAGAGGCTTTCCTGTCTCTCAGAAACTGCTAACGACGCGAGTAAACGAAACGATGGGAGTGTGTGATGCAGCTCAGGGCACAGTGCACAGTAGCTCTGGGGACAGCCTAACCGCACTCAGACAACCTCACTCACTCACAAACCTTCCACCACAGCCTGAGACCCGTGGTTTTTGTCACCGGTCATTTTCAAAAAGACGGCCCGCCGCTCTCACCGAAGTCTGTGTGGTTGCTCATCCATCCGATGGCTTTGATGGACACCAGCGCCAACAGTCCTGAGCCCACGAAGGAGCCGACGCCAGAGAAGAAAAAGAACAAGCCCATTATGGCGCTCTGCATGGACTTGGGCGCGGCGGAATATGCGAATTCCAGACCTACAGGAAGGAAAGGAGGCGCTTTTGTGAGACGAGGTCGCATCGACGCTCCCGCCTAAATACGGCAGAAGCAGCAGAGGTCCAATGGGGACTTGGAGCTCTAAGTAGTGCAACTCCCTTCCCTGTTTTGAAGTCAGTACTTACACAAGTTCAAGCAATCACTGGCTAAGAGCTAGCTGCTCACTCTCCTGTTCACTGCGACAATTCCTAAAACATCTCAAGGAGGGTAGAAAGTAAACTCCTTGCTCTCAAACCTGAAGGTAAATTTGATTTGTCAGCTCTTAGAATTTCTTATTCCTTATGGAAAGAAAGAGATTAAAGAAGCAAAACTTTCCTATATTCTCAACTAATGGGAGTTTGAAAACAAAGTACGTACACTAAAATGGGGCATCTACTTAAGAATTCTATCATAAAGCAATATATTTTAAAACGATTTTTTAAAACAGGCACATCCAGAAATTCCGATTTGTGTAATAACTAGACATTGAGATGTGCAGAGTGTTCTAAATGGAGGACTGTTCTGTTTGATGTATGCCCTTCGCAAATTCATTAGCCAATTCTGCCTGAGTTTTGTGAGACGTGAGGAGAGGTGAAAATGATCGTCTCCTAGTGCCCACATGACCCATCGACTCTGGTCATCACTAATTTTCTCCCTCCGTCGCTCCCAGCAGTGGAAACAGGTCTGCACAGAACACACTTGTCCAAAGCACCACAGACTCCCACTAATGGAGAAAGAGAGGCCTGTGGGAACATGTTTTTCAAAATTGGGTTTGCACACTTATACAAATCTGAACAGAAACACTGAGAGCACAGCTGTGATTCACATCCCTTGGACCGGCTGCCACAGCGTAACTGCAGGGTCTGTTAGAAGCGCCAGGCCCAGGGAAAGCCGCCCAATAGGTTTTTCCTTCTTTTCCTCTCTCCTGCGGCCTCTCTATGGCAGGGGATGAATGTCATGGAAATGTTTTGGGAATCTTGTTTTTATACCAAGAAATGAGAACCTCAGACATAGTCGTACTGTTTATTTACAATCCATGTTCTGAACCACAACTGCCTGCCCAAACATACAATAGCACTGTGCTATTTCTGTCTCAATAATTCTAACACGTAAGAAAACAGTATGGCTTTTGTTATCTTACGCCTAGACTAGACCCAGACACCTCTGACATGAACCTTACCTGCTATGCTTGCAAATATCTCACTGACACCAATCAGCACGTACTGTGGGACCTGCCACCATATTGGCAAGTCGGCAGCAAAATAAACGACATTTCCAATGGTCTGATTAATGGTTTTCTCCTTAACAAGGTCCAGCCTCTTGCTTTCCAAAATTCCTAGAATACATAAGTAGGTTAAGAGAGCATTAGTTAACATTTGCAATTAAACTAAAAAACCAGATGTTTGCTACAAGGTGCTTATTGATTATTCTGAAAAATACATGGAAGGATAATGCCCAATGACACAGCTTCTCCCCAAACCACTCGATCTAGGAATCTCCCAGCTTTCAGCTTCCTAAGTAGGTTCCTGAAAAATAGAGGTCATACCACACCTATTTCATTTGGGCGTTTTTACAGTGCTTTATAAAATAGATGCTCAACATGTTTAATTCAATCCTCAAATATCTGGATTGCTCACAACCTATATTCCTTTTGTTTCTTTTAAAAGGAGGAGTGGGGAAAGCTAATAGTCCTGCAATGAAAGATTAATAACGCTATTTTACTTATCAGAAGGTAATAAATTTTGACATATTTTTCCCATCATGGTAATGGATTTAAGCTGACCCACTGATTTACTATCATTACTATTACAACCATGGCTGCTAATAATAATGCTGGTTTCCTTGTACAGGCGGGCTTAACCTTAACAACAAAGTAAACTGAACTTTCCAACTCAACTTCTGCTCTCAGCAGCACCGAGACTGCACCAAATTGTTGGTCACCTGTCAAGTGCAACAGAAAGACATGGGAAGATATGCAAGAGCAGAGACAGTGACTCTTTATAAAACAAAAAAATCAAAATAAAGTTTAAAAATGACAATTTGTAGGACAAGTTCTTAAGTTAAAGATGTCACCAAGTCTTGTTTTTAAAGAATTCTAACTGCAAAGGAAATAATGGACCCTAATATTTAAGGCACATATAAAAATACACGTATTTACAACCATGGGTCTGAGGAGGGACGAGAGTCTGGGTGAGAGGACCAGGATTTGATTGACAGGGTGACGAGAAGAAAAGCTCTGGAATCCATACCCCAAACCACATCTAAAGTGAAGTGCCCAAGCAAAGAGAAAATGTTTCCAAGGACCAAGGTACAGACACTTCCCGGCTCACTCCCCTCAGAAGCCCGTGTCTCCTCCCGGAGGTGAGCTGAGGGGACCTAGCCCTCAGCCCCGTCCTCCGACTGAGAAACGCAGACTCAGACCGAGAAACTCAGACGCAGACCCGGGGGGTGCAGAGCAGGCTATTTAGAGCTCAGGCTGCTCTGAAGAGGGCATTTGAGGTGTGGCAGTGCCCAGTGGTGATCTTAGGACATGGCTGGCGGCGGCAAGGGCCTTGTCCACAAGTGACAGCTCCTCCCTGAGGGGCAGTGGGCAGCACTAACGGGGCAACAGCTTTCGCCTGGCTGGAGTCCTCAAGTGCACAGGATCAAGTGCAACGGGCTTCCCCTCGGTCCCGCCTCCTCCCCCCCAGCTGCCAGGTCACTGCACCGGCCACCAGCCCTCCAGCTGGAAGGGTCCCAGTGCAATTCAAGTGCAGTTAGGCCTACAGGGAAGGGAGCCACTCCACCTGTTCTGGGGGAATAAATACTGACACTGGGTAAGACTTCAGTCCTTCACAGGAAAGGCAAACCTGTGTGTGTGTGTGTGTGTGTGTGTGTGTGTGTGTGTGTGTGTGTGTGTGTGTGTGTGTGTGTGTGGTGGGTACTGGTGGGGACAGTACACAGACTGAGTACATGAAGAGAAGAGATACTGTCGACTTCTGGCAAAGTTCTGGCAGAGAAGGGAAGACAACTGTCAGCCAGGATCTGCTCTGTGCTCCTTATTACTCAAGAAAACACAGAGTCTGTGAAGACTGAGGGTGAAAAGGGACCAGAAACTAAGGGGTGTTGTCTAACGAGTCACATGTAAGGAGTCCAACTTAAGAGAACATGGGAGATAAAAGTTGCTCGTTGGCAGGACTGGAGAAGGATGCAGAGGCGTGACGAATGCTGCAGGACACAGCACAGGCCGGGAGCGCGTCCCGAGAAGCTGACAGAAGCAGCTGCTGGTGGGGGAAGGAGGCCTTCACCAACACCTGAGGCTCCTGAGGAGGCCGGAACAGGCCGAAAGAGGCCGTCGTCATGACCAGTTAATAACAGGGAAGCAACCAGGAAGCATCACTATAAACGAAGATAAAAGAAGATGCTGGAACAACCAACACAGCATCCTTGCCATAAATGGGCCAAAGTCTTCAATTAAGGGCATAAACTCACATGGGGTCCAACAACAAAACAAAACTGAACACTGAGGATGAGATGAAACATTGGAGCTAATGCAAGGCAAAGTTGTGAGTCAAAGAAAGGCTGGCCCCGGGGGCTGGCCCCGTGGCCTAGTGGTTAAGTTCAGCGCGTTCCAGTTCTGGGGCCCGGGTTTGGATCCCGGGTGCAGACCTATACCGCTCATCGGTGGCCATGCTATAGCGGCGACCCCACATACAAAATAGAAGAAGATTGGCACAGATGTTAGCTCAGGGTGAATCTTCTTCACCAAAAAGAAAGAAAAAAAAAGAAAGGACGGCCCAGACACAGGGGTGGATTCATGGAGAAAGAAGGGTGACAACCAGGACGCCAGGGCAGAGAGATTCAGACAAACACTCCAAAGAGAACAAACAGGCGCTGTTCAAGGAGTGCTCTCGGTGTTAACGTGCGTCCTTTGCTCACTGCTTACAGACACTACACCTCATTTATTATCCACAGCAAGCCAGAGAGAGACACCAGCAGGCTCCTAAGAAGACAACGAGGTTGAGTCTTGGAGACTGGACCAGCAGAGTAAGCCTGGGCTTCAAACCCAGCGTGAGGGACGCCACGTGCACGCCTCCCTTCCAAAGGGCACTTTTGCTGTGGACGACACATACCATCCCCAGAGAAAACATGAGCTGTAAACCTTTATAAGTAAAACAGCATCATCTGCTAGAAACACAGTGAGAATCGGACAGAAACACGCCTCTCGGTCCTCGTCAGAACAAGGAGACAAAAATAAGGCTTTGCTTGGCGTGAGGGTCCCAATCCAGAGACACAAAGGGAAACCCAGGCCCTGAACTTCATTGACACAGCGAAGCATTCAGTTTGATTCACTGAAGGAAGCGGACAGACACGAGATCCATGCCTCTCAGGGCTTTGTTCTCACAAGCCACAGTGTTTAGAGAGGGCTTGCACCGGCCCTGCCTCCCATTCACCAGACTGTCGAGGTCCTGGACCGTGCACTCATCCACATGACCCAGGCCCCCAGAGGCATGCGGACACCTGCTACCAAGGATCTAACAGAGCCAACCACACTACAACAGACGAACCATCCCACCCAGCTCCCGACAAACACGTTCAGAAAGTGCTATTAGGCCCAAAGGAACCCGGAACTCCTCAATGCAGGAATTATAAAGCCGCGCTCTCTCCCAACTCCACAACGGGACCAGATATCACCAATAAATGGACAGACACAAACATCAACACTGGGAAAGGAAAATTCTCTGAAATGACTTGTGGATCAAAAAGGAAACAAAAACCACAGTTTCAATATTCTTAGAAACCAACAAAGAAAACACTACAAGAAATCCAAGCACATGAGACTGTGACAGAGCAGCAGGAACAGGCAAACTCATACTGTTACCTGGTTTTCACTGTTAAAGAGGAAAGAACAAAGAAAAGTAAACGAAGAATTTAACTCAACAAACGAGAGAGAAAAAATCACAAAACAAACCCAAGGTAATAGAAAGACATTACTTTCTTCATTCTTCATTTCACTCAGAAAACAGAGATACAGTTAAATTGATAAATTCAAGAGATACTTCTATAGCACAAGCATAAAATGCACAGTTTTGGTGAGTTTAATAAAAAAGAGCACATACATACATGAAACTAGCAATGAGAGAGGAACCACAACAGATTTATTTAAAAGACTATTTTTATCTCCACTCTAATAATTTTTCTAAAACTCAATAAAATGAATCGTTTACTCAGGACATTAAAAAAAAAAAAGAGCTTAAGTGATTCAAGGGAGAAAAAAATCTACACAAAACTGAGGAGAAGTAAAAGGTTACCACATTTCCTCTCAGAGAGGTATGGGCTCACATCATTTTCTAGGCAAAGAGCTGGAGCTTCCTGGGAGTGGATAGGTAATTCTCACCCTGTTAAAATGCTCCCTGCCCACAGAAGTGGGAGTTCACCAACTCTGTTTACAAGGCTGTGTGACCCTGACATCAGGCCACAGACTGACCTCAATTATAGAGAGATGCACAGGTGCTAAATAAAACAGCCACAGATGCCAATCAAACCACCAGTCATCCCATTAATGAACAGGGTTGATTTTAGAAATGCAGGAAGAGTTAAATATCAGAAGTTAATATAAATAAAACACATGGGGGACATGTAATCCTCTTAGAAACGAACATAAGATATTTGAGAAAAATTCAACATTCATTTCTGCCAAACATACTCAGCAAAGGTGAAATAAAGGTGAGATATTTAACATCATCACGAACAGATATCTCAAACTGAGGGTCAATGGTAAACAGCGAACGTCACAGGAACGTCTAGAGATGCCGCTGTTACAGGCAGGGACGGGAGGAGGATATTTATCACCACCGTCATCTACGCCTTAGAGAAAGTCCAGACAACACTGCCCAACGAAAGGAGAAAAGAGGCAGAATTATCAAGAAGGAGGAAAAGGAACTATGTTATCTGAAGATGACGATTTGAAAATGATTCGTTGCAACTCAGAATTTTTAAAAATCCCATATATGAGAAACCAAAAACACATAAAGCAGTTAAGAATAAACCTAACATAAAATGTACATGACCTAAAAGAAAACTCTGCAAGATATCATAAATAAAATTAGGGCCGGCCCCGTGGCTTAGCGGTTAAGTGCGTGTGCTCCGCTACTGGCCGCCCGGGTTCGGATCCCGGGCGCGCACTGACGCACCGCTTCTCTGGCCATGCTGAGGCCGTGTCCCACATACAGCAACTAGAAGGATGTGCAACTATGACATACAACTATCTACTGGGGCTTTGGGGAAAAAAAAGGAGGAGGATTGGCAATAGATGTTAGCTCAGAGCCGGTCTTCCTCAGCAAAAAGAGGAAGATTAGCGTGGATGTTAGCTCAGGGCTGATCTTCCTCAAAAGTAAATAAATAAATAAATAAAATGTCTACTTCATAAATAAAATTAAAAAGAAAATGAAAAAATGGGCAAAAAACATAGCATGCCATAAAATTACGAATAGTAACAATCTATTACTATACCACGAAAAAGAAAAACCCACTAGAAAACTGGGCACAACACATGCACTGTACACAGAATGTAATGACTGATAAATTCGGGGAAAACATCACTAATAATATACATTCAAGCAAAGATATACAATGTTCTAACCCTTCAGATAGGAAAGGAACATATACTGAAGGGTGCTGTAAGATCAGCATTCGTACATGTTGCACTCTGCTCTGCTCTTTTGTATCGAGAAATCTACCCTGAGGAAGCAATGAGACAAGTGCACAGACAGGGACGTGTCAGGGTGTACACAGAGCACTGTCTGCAGTAAGGACAGACCGGAATCAACCGTCATATTTAACAGGAGAGGACTGGCTTTAAAATGATAGTACATTCCAAAATGGAATATTATGTAGTTGTTAAAAACCATAATGTAAATTTTAATTATTGACATGGAAAAATGGTATGTACATGGTATACAAAAATAGTAGGTTATAAATCGTGTGAAGAGCTTGTTTCACTTGTTTAAAAAGAAAGTAATTTAGCTGTAACGGAAAATGTTCTAGGAGGATTTAAACATAGTTGTAGTGGTCACTGTTGGATGGTGGGATTACGGATGAATTTAGGTCTCCCTCCACTTTATCTATATATTTCTCATGACCATGGATGGACCGTGTAATGAAAATCTTTAAAAGCTTGCTGTAGACCAGTGGTACTGAACGCTTTTCTAAGGAAAGCTGTGACCAGAAAGGCACTGAGATGTTTCTGCTCAGCTTCAGGTGCTCTCCAGGCCCCGGAGCCCGTGCGTGGACTCCCGTCTGAAAACCACCGGGGCAACAGCATCCAGGACACCACCAAGTGTGACGAGCAGACCAAAAAGGCCGACGGCGGGTACCATTGTCCCAGGATGATGGGTGGGAGTTACTGCCTTCCTGGAAGACAATTCTGACAATTTATCAAAAGCCTTAAAGGATGCAGTGATTATACTTCCGGGGATTTGAGAAGTAGAGAAATTTCACTGCGGTGATTACTATAACAGTGAAAACTAGAAACCTAAATACTCAACAACAAAAGATTCGGATGAATGTCTGACATGGAAGGATATTCGCGATACATTAGGTTTTTTTTACAAAAGCAGGTGACGAAGTATAAGTAAATATATATGTGTGTTAACATCATGTATCAATTTTTCCCGTGCACTTGCAGAATGGTCATAGTGGATTCCTTGGGTGGTGGAATTATGAGTACTTATATCAGCGTGTGTGTACGCATGTGTGTGTGACGGCTCATCTGTATTTGGGGGATTTTTTTTTACCTCCTTATACTTAACATGCACAGCTTTTATTATACTTTTATGGTTTTCTTACACTTACTTTTTGTTAATCAGGCTCAAATTAGCTTACACAATACAATTTCATTTTTGCAAAAACACAGAAGGTGTATGTGTACAGACACAAAAACAAGACTAGATGGATACACACCATCCTAGGAGTGAGCATCTCTGGGGGAATTACTGTTGATTTTTATTTCCTTCTTTGTTTCTAAGGTTTCCTTTTCTCCAGTGAGCATCTATTATGCTAGTAATTTAACACATGCACAATTTAAGGGAAAAAAGAAATCTGACAAATTAACACACTTCTTTTTTTCTTAAGCTGACTTGAAGAAATCCCTTGCACCTGCTTGATTCTTATCTGAGAAACTTCAAAGAAAGAATTACTACAGCAGGCGTGGTACTAAGGGAAGACACTGATTTATTATGGGTGAATGTAGTAAGTTAAAAGGCAAACATTATTAGTGAATGTAGTAAGTTCAAGGCAAAATCATTTCTTTTCTATTAAAATTTGGTTTGCTATAATAGTCTCAGGTCTCTACTCAAAGCTTATCAATGTTCCAATTAAATAATCAACACTAGAGCTGGAAGTAAAACTATACAAAACCCAGGTCACTGCTTACATTAAATTTAATAAATTGTGCTTAAGTCAAGTTACGAGATATTGAAGCTCTCAGAACCAGTGACAGTTAAGCTCCTTCCCAATACCTGGCCACTTAGCAAAGAAAGCCTTCTTAAGAATACAAGCAGAGTAGGCATTTTCCATTTCTAAGGCATCGATTTAGATGCTGAAAGCTCAGAGCTGTGTGGTCTCACTGTTCCAAGCACCTAGGTCCCCACAGGCGCCAGCATCCACGCAGAAGGCAGCCTCACTGCTCAGCCCTGGGAGGAACTACCATGTATTTTGTTGGCACTTGTAAAAGTTAGAACTGCTACGCCTGACTGGGCACTTGCCACTTGTCTGCCAGTTGTTTCCTGCACAAGCATGTACAGAAACCACCAGAATGCCCTTTGTGGTTCTTAGGGCAGCCCACACGAGCTATTTGGCCATTAATGAAACAGAAAGAGAAAATGAAATTAAAGGAGGCCAAATTCAGGATCTACCAGGAAATGCCTGGGAGCCCAAGGACATGTCCTCTTCCCCAGGGGGAGAACAAGGACTCTCTTCCCTGGCACCCGACCAGTGTGGTCACGGTGCACCGAGAGGGCTGGCTCCCTAGGGCCAAAGCTGAGCCCACGGCAGGTGCTCTGAGGCGGCAAGACAGACAGACACCATCGCCAACGCGGCCAGTGTGCCTCCAGACGGCCCTGTTGCTCACTGACTCTGCCTAATGAAACCTGCAATTAGATGCCGCTCTAATTGAGTTCTTATTCATTCTGCTCACTTCCTCATGTGCCACAGGACTGGAAGAGAAACGGAATTGTAAGGAAAGCACACAGAAAACACTCCAGTCAGACACGACCTCACTTTAAGTATCTATTTGATCAAGAAAAAACATAATAGTCTCCTAAGATGTCCTGGTCTCTGGAATATGGATTTCTTAAGCCTAGGGACTCATTTCTTTAGAACTATTAAGTACTACATCAATATGTTCGCTCTGGCGATAGCAGATGAAGGCTGCTATGAAGCATTGTTGGAGAATATTAAATTCCATCTCAGCAGTGCTTAACATGAAATTCCTCATAACAGGAGATGATACATAGTTGATTCAGGAATAGCAGCTTTTCTTGTTATATAACTAAGCTATTTTACAGTTCAATAATTTTCAAATATTAATGAAGGAAGAACTCCCAAGTAGGTTTAGAGAGTCAGCGATATCTCAGCTTTATCAGAAGATACTTAAACTTATATAAGAATTATGAAAACAGCATGGGGCCCCCAAAAGGACAACTCTCCTCATTGGTGTTGGAATACTCAGACATTAGCTCTTAACCTTTTTTCCCCCTAGGAGATGGGGGCTGGTCATGAACATATATTTGATAAAACCTTTCCCCCCAGGAAAACACAGATGAAATTTTCCATAAACATGCAAAGAGTGGAGGGGCAGACTGAACCCTATTAACCTAAGGGTGAATTCACATCTTTGAGAATTATGTAACACCTTTAACTTAAAAAATTTCATCTATTCAGCATTCAACAGTTGTCTAAAATTTAGATCAATAGGGAGAGAACAAGCCTCCTTTGATTCAATCCAAAAGTCCCTTTCCAGGGCACTTCACTGGTTTTAGTTCGAGCAGAAAAATAATAATCCTTAGGAAAAAACTTAAACTTCATATAACAAAAAACTAGAAAATGAACAACACTCAGGTTTAAAATACTCCACAGACGTTCTCTTTTAAAGTCCAGGCACTTCCATGGGCCGGCCCTGTGGCTTGGTGGTTAAGTGCGCGCGCTGCAATGCTGGCGGCCCGGGTTCGGATCCCGGGTGTGCATCGAGGCACCACTTCTCCGTCCATCCTGGGGCCGAGTCCCACATGCAGCAACTGGAGGGATGTGCAGCTATGACATACAACTATCTACTGGGGCTTTGGGGGGAAAAAATAAAATAAATAAAATCTTTAAAAAAAAAAAAAAATAAAAAAAAATAAAGTCCAGGCACTTCCTGAGTAACAGGGAGCACAATTGGAGGTCGATCCCTATTCTGAATCACCCACAACCGCTGACGTGAGCAGAAATGAGGCAGAAACTGCATCTTACCTGCAGCGAAGGCAGAACACATTACAAAGAACATGCCAACAGCGATCCTTTTTAAGGATGACGGGAGTAAGCCATTTCTTCTCAAAATGGGATCGACCAGTTTATCCTTTAAGGGAATTAACAGGAGGATGAGCACTGCATCGAACATAGTCAGCCAGGCTGCCGGAAACTAGAATTTTAAAATCATAAGACACGTTTATTTTTCTGCAATATGAGTGGTCACTTATTATATAACTAATGTCCAAATGGGAAAAACTTATTTCAAGAACAGTTCATGTCTACAAAGTATAACTGCCTAGGAAAAAAGTCTCAGTTTCAAGAAACTGGAACTGAGAAAAGCTCCAGTTTCATTTCTAAATGGGTCTGCATTTGTTTTTGTGTGCTTTAAGTGGGAAAAAGAAAAGGCAGCAGGTGAAAATATTAACTAATGTTTAACTGATATCAGTCAATCTAGTAAATGATACAACCAATGGAAAAAGTCTCTGAGATAAGTAAAAATCCCACTTCAATAAGAATGCTCGAAGTTCCTGCTAACTGCTAACATTTATAAAGCATCTACTATTGGCAGAAGGAATCCGTCTGTCACATAAACCCCGAGGGACAATATTCAGATCATTTCAGTTGTTCTCACCGTATGAGGAGTGGTTGTAACATTGGAAATTTTCGGAATCTTCAAGTGAAGACTCTGTAAAACATACGTTGTCTGCATCTGGGTGTAAAAAGCAGAGTCATTACACGGGAACAGCTCTGCCTCTCAACCACTCAGCGTGTCGCCCTCCCCCAGCCCACTCCTGACAAGAGACCAGTGGCTCAGGTTGGAAACAGACAAGTCAACTATGTGGTCATCATAAGACGCGTCTGGATATCGACTTTGAAAAAGAACTAACAGTTATCCAAATGAGAAATCAAATTAAAAGATGGGGCCTGGAAAAACAGAAGCATATCCATTCTTAGCTTCTTTTTTGAAAAGGTTTTCAAAACAATTAAATCAGCAAAAATGACTCCTTAACTAAAAACAAGATTCCAAGATCCTAGACTCATGGAAATCATGAGACCCTATGCATTCTAGGGATGGCCAAAACCAGTGCCGGGGTAACATTGCATAGGAGATAAAGGAAATGAAACCTGTTTGTCACCACTCACTTGAAAATATACTGTCCAGTAAGGAATCAAAGCCAAGAAAACAGGGATAATCTTGACAAGAGCCTTCACATCTTCCACTTTATCTTCTGTAAATGGCCCTCCACGAGACATCTTACATGAATCAAACAGACTTTGTTTAGAAGATTGCTGAAAGACTCCAATGCCTTCACTTTGGGAAATAAAATGAAGGAATTAGTTTTCTTCCACCCCCAGAAATCAATTATTTGGTAACATATTAAGTTTGGAGGTAGGAAACCAGCTTGCTGTCTTGAATTTGCTTTAACTTCTTTCTATTACTTACTAATTGCGCACACCAAAGATAGCTACCGAGATTATTCCTACACATTGCAAAATCTATAAAACGCCGAGAGAAGGACTTCCTAGTCAAAGTGCAGGCGGGGCTCCTGTCATTTTAACGAGACTAGCAGGTACGGTATGATCAGTCTACATCGTGGCTGGCCTCACATCCGGCTGAAGCCCCACTGGTCAACATCCCCTTGTGTTGAGGAAAGCCTGCAATCTCATCTGAAGCTGACCTCGACAACATCAGCCACATCACTGCATTAGTATTTGGGAAAAAAAATTGTGCTGCATTGTCTGGATTTTTAATTAGGTAATTTACCAAATGTCAAGGCTTGACAACCAATATGAATGTTGTTCATAAACCATAATGGTTTCTTTAAAATATAGTGACAGGTGTGAGTGTGAGGAAGGGCTCTGTTCTGGCAGGGAAGCTGAGAGGGGAGCAACAATGCTCGTGATGATGATAACAACGAGGTTACCTGTTACCCGGTAACACCGGGTGCTCAGTGTGCACCACGCTCCCGCCTAGGTGCTCCCTCGTCAGCCCTGACCACAACCCTAGGAGGCATCAGGACATTCCTGCTAGCCCCACTGCACAGATGGGGAGACTAGGGCACAGAGAGGGTAGGGAACGTGCCCAAGGAAACAAAGCCAGAGAACTGGGGCCGGGATTTGAACCCCGGCAGTCCTGGCTGCTGAGCCTGCGGCCCCGACCATGGCAGGACACCCCCTGCCCCTCTGCTCCCCGCCCACAGGCACCACCCTCATGCTAGGTCTGCTGGTCGCAGTCAAGGACTCGGCCCTCCAGTCCTGGCTCTGTATCAGCAGCTTTGCTCTCTCGCTTACCCTGGGCCTGTTTCATTATTTATAAAATGAACAGGTCCCAGTGGATAGATCCCAGATCTCTCCTAGCCCAAAGCATTCTAATGGAGAAACGTGATCTAAGGTTCTTAAGGGTAAAAGAGAAAGAAAAAAAATTGCTTTAATTGCACGCTATTCTCTAAAGCCAGAAATATCTGGAGATAATTACCATTAAGGTTGCTTCCAATTCTGGGACTCAGATATAAACGGCAATTGTCTGCTTTCTAGTTTACAAACTTCTATCCCATTTAACTAAGTTGCCACTATTTTAAGTCATTTTTGTCCTATAATGTCGACATTTTTAATCTGAACTTTCAGACTGGGGGAAAAACAAAAAACTGTAATAATATTTTAGCCACATTTTGGACAGGAAAACTATATTCAATTCAGCAAATATTTATTAAGCATTGACTATTTGCCCAGTTCCATTCTAAGTGGGTGCTGGGGACACACGAATACATTTTAAAAGATACATTTCCTGTCCATATGTAGCTTAGTCTACGGGGGAGAAATAATCAGAAAAAATACACTCAAAGTGGAACTCTAAGTTCCAAAAATATTATTCACATGTTCACTTGAAAACATTAATAGCTTCTCCAAATTTTTTTTTTTTTTGGCTAGAAAGTAAATTTAAAGTCCTTGTATACCTAACACAGATACTATCAGTGATTTAGTACATCATACTACACGTGTTTCTCTTAAAAAATGTAAACGTCAAATAACAAATCTATTTTCACACATAGAATCACTAACACAGGTTACTGGTTATATTACTTTTGCTTTATGTTGTTAAAATATTTTAAAACTGCGAAGTCAATATGCCCCTAAAACCTCACCTAATTCACACATATTGTTAGTGTATTATTTTGCAACATACAAGGGTCCAACATGGAGCCATGGCCACAAATGACAAGGAACACAGACGAGAACCCAGCAAGTCGAAGTGCTCCCGCTTCACGAGGCCTGTGCTCCCTGAGACCGCCTGCAGAGGCTGTGTGGGCAGGTATGTGCATTCTCCCGGGAGGAGGCCCTGCTGGTTCTCAGATTCTCAACACAAAGATGTCTGTATCTCAAGAATGTTCAAAACCATCTCCACTCTGGTCTGACGAAGTGAACAGATATTCATGGATTTCTCATTTAAAATCAACATTATCTTCAAAACAGAGATCAACATAGATGAGAAAGAAACTGGCACTGGCCAGATGAAATCAGTGCCAGAAATAAGGAAACACTGGGTGATGTGCTTCCTTGGGCTTCTGGAGCCGACCTTCTGTGAAAGCATCCTCATCAAGCAGGCACTTATCCTGGGCCAGGCGTCCTGCTAAAAACATCACACATACCAGCTCACTCAGAACCTGCCATGATCCTATAGGGTGAGTTGCTCTCCACCGTCCAAAAGGAAATGCAGGCTTGGCAACGTCACTAACCTGCCCAAGGTCACAGAGTCGGACCTTGTGTATAAGGAGAGCACAGTCTGAGAATTCTCTAGACCATCAACTTTTCCTCAAACTAGTCCTTTTTTCTTAATTGTGCCAAAGATTTCCAAAATCAAACCTAAAGGGAAATCAGGTTCCTCAGTAAATATAAGCCCACATCGTCTTCGCCAGGCCATTTGTGCACTAGAACCCCAAGACATCCAGGAAGCAACGGCCCTTCTTGCGGAAATGTCTACCAGGGACCACCCACACAGAACACTGAAACCGGGAAGGGTGCCCCTTCACAAGGGTGTATTTTGCTAATGGGTACTCAAGCTATAGAATAAACCCCTAGCGTGTGAAACCCTGCTTTTGCCTAATTAAAATAAGGCCCAGGGAAGCACTCACACCTGCTACTGAGGCTGTGCTGTTTTAATTCTCAAAAATTCTTTAGTGTGGTCCCACCACTCGTAGTTCTGAATTATGAGTCTGAACGCCACACTGACCCACCAGAATATCCAGGTCAACAGGATGGTCAGGAGATCTGTCGGAACCCCCCACGGGGACAGCTGAAGAAACCAGACGTGCAGCCTGGAGTGAGGGAGCAGGGCCATAAGCACTGTTTTGGTTTAGCCACAAATCCACCACATGGAAGGAACAGTAGACATCTGTTATGGCTCCAAGGACATAAATAAGACACAGACAAGCCACGAGGAGGCCGATGTGGCGGTCGGCTTGCAGAAGAACATTCCAGCAATTAGTGCCACCCAACAATGAGCGTGCTGCGCTGAGAGGCAGGAAGCTGCACATGGCTGAGTGGTCAACCTCTGGCTCAGGGACTAAATGCCCATTGAGAACACCAACCCTGATAAAAGTACTCCCGGAGAGGGTCGACTATAAAGGGTCCAGGGACTTTTCTGGGGTGATGGACATATTCTGTGTCCTGACTGCACGGTGGGTACATGATCGAATAAATAATTCCCAGAAGTGCACAGCTAAAAGACATGCATTTTACTGCATGTAAACTATACTTCAATAAACAACAAAAATTCTCTTCTTGGGCTAAGTTCTGGACTTTTCTTTATTAATCTGCACCTAGGGTGACCAGCTGTTGTCACAGTTTGCCTGGGACTGTGGGACTTCCCCAGGACAAGGGGCTTTCAGCTTTAAAACCCCAGTGCACGGGACTTACACCGTTAACACCAGGGAAGTCTGTGCCAATTTGGATGATGGAGTTACCCTACCTGCATCTCAAAATTCTGCTACTATGTCCTCTGTCAAAGAGCGGCTGAAGTGACCGCTGGATAACGGGGCCCCTGCTGACCACTCGGTTGCTGACCCAGAAGTGAGAGGCAGCAGCTTACCGTTTAAGGAGCACAGAGAGGTGCCCACAAAGTAAGAAACTGCTTGGTTTTCCATTAAAATGCATTTCAGCGCTTTTTAAAATAAAACAAGAAATGTAGAGAATACGTACACTGTCTCCACTGTGCCCTCGTGGATTTCTACCTTTATCGTCTGCATATAACTAAGGAGCTGGGGGCTTCCGTCTAAGCCAGCAGTGTGAGGAAGGTCAGTGCACAGGTTAAAAAAGAAAAGCAGGAGCTGCAGAGTCAGCAGGTGGTCTGTCTTTAAGACGCAGACAAGAATGCTACACCCACCTCCTCGAGGTGATGTAAGAGTGAAGGGGATGAGACATTTAAATCACTCAGCCCGGTGCCCCGCACACAATAAGCCACTCGACAGGCGTAAGCTAGTGTCTCACGTACAGTGATGGGTACGTCCTATCAAATTGAGCCTGGGACGAGAATTCGGTGCTCACCCACTACGGCTGCATTCTCCACCTCGCTTCCGGGGCCGGCAGGAATAGGCCAGTATCTTGAACATATCAGTGAAGGCGCTGCCATCGGGAGGCTTGGTGATGAAGAAGCTCTGGGCACAGAGGAAGACCACAAAAGAGACGCCGATGCAGATGGTCGGGATGAGGTAGCCGGTCACAAAGCCCACGTTCTGCTGGATGTAGGCAATGCCTCCCAGCGAGACAATTGCTCCCAGATTAATGCTCCAATAAAACCAATTAAAAAACCTTCTTGTGGCTTCCGGACCTCGATCTTTAACCTAAAATCAGGAAGGAAAAAGACTTAAAAACATGGGATAACCTGAAAGAATGAAAAACAGAACACAATATATACGTATATATAATGTTTTCACATATACTATGTATTTTTTTTATATATTATAATTGCTGTTATCAGCACAGCCTTTAAGAAATGCAGCACAATCAAAATGGTGTTTACAGATAGATTTAAGGGTTTCCTGACAAAAAAGTATCCTACACTCTTAATTGCTACAGATTCTGGGGATTGTTTCTTTTAATTATGCTTAAATCCAACATATCCTACAGAGTTTCTCAAAGTACCATCTGTGAACCACCTGCTTTGGAAACACCTGGAATGCTCCTTAAAAATACAGATTCACAGGACCCGCATTCCAGACCTACCTACTCATCATCTCCAGGGTTGGGGCCCAGGAATCTGCATTTTAAAAAACTTTCCAAGGGACTTCTGTTCACAGCTAAATAGCTCCACGCCTCGATCTGGAGCAAAGAGGAAATTACAGACTGAAGCTAAAACCACACGCTATTTTTAGATTAGGAAGGCTATCAATGGAATCAGGAGGAATTCTGATAAGGATAGAGGTTCCTGGAAGGCACAAAAATCACTACTTTCCTGAATTTAGACAAACACAAGCACCAGGTAACACAAGCAATTTCTAGGTGTACACTCTCCACAACACCGCTTAAACGAAGCCCATTGTGTTGGTGGCTGAGATGTGGGGGCAGGCACCCCATAACTCCCCTTCCCACCTGGATTTTCACATCGACATGGACACTGAGAACAGGCTCTATACTAGCCAGTCATTTCTAGCCAGTTTCATTTCGTAAAATTTTTAAACAAACTTACTCTAAAGGCTGATGCTCGATCATATACAAAGATTGCCTAATCTTGCTGTCTTAGGAACTTCTGTTGTCTTGTCCATAAGTTACAGATTATGAAAAAGTTGGGTAATTTCTGTTCCAGTAACAGACGTGAATTCTGATCCACAGAGCAATCTCCTCTACTTTGTTCTAAAGAAGAAGGTTTTCAATGGGGGCCAAAACAACCAATTACGATACACAAAAAAAGCACCTGTTGAGCAGTCACGTTACTTGATATGATATTTTATCCTATTTTTTAAGATTAAAGAACAGCCGTAAAATATATAGTCAAAATCCTGTGCTCCTCAAAAAAAATTTTGTTTTAATCCAAAATGATTCAACATGGCTACTGCTTGGGCAAATAATACACTTGAAGTAATTGTATGGTAGCCACCACCTCAAACTAAAAATCTGAGTTTTAAATAAACCACATGTTCTCAGGGGGAGCTTAAACTTTTCTCCTACTCACTGAACAGAGGTCCCAGACCAAATGCTGGCATGACTACTGAATAAATGATTTGTATTGAGAATTCCTGATATTTCAAAGTGAGACAGTTCTTCATGGGGACACAATGCATTTAAATGTTACTAAACTGGACTCAAATATTCATGCTATCCTGGAGACAGACCGGAGGAAAGAAAAACTGTAAGCAGAGGAATGGTTACAGAGAAAATACAACTAAAAACAAGTAACCGGGGGTTGGAGGCAAGCTTAAAAGGGAAGAGGGCCAGTGAGTACAATACCCAAAATTAACGGAGACATAATTTACATATTAACTGAACTATGTGGGGGCGTTCCATTATCAACACACACCGCCCCGTGTAAACTTGGCAGTCAGAGTATTTGAACTCCCAAGAGTAATTCACCAAAATTACTTTAGAAACCTAAGCCTATTACTAAGGCCCTAAATAACCACAGCCCAGTAATTCTGTGTAACAAATGGGAAGCTGGTTCCACCAACTGCAGATCACATGCTCCAGGCCCTGGGCGGCCCCTACGTATCAGACACATTAGATCACCCTCTGCACAGCTGCCCAGTACCCGGCGCAACCAAGGGTAAACAGGCTCTTCAAGTGACTGGTCAAAAGACACTGCAGTCAATCCACAGAGTGCAGCCAAGAAAAGAGGAGAATTGTGTACAGTGAGGCCAACAGTTGGCTGACTTGGAAAAATTCCTTAAAACGCACACGAGTACAAGATTTTTTCCTCTAGAAAAAAAAATGTATCGTTTGCTCCCTTTATCTGTAAAATAAGTTTTGCTTCTTTCAGTTCATTATTTCAAATACTCAATCCATCCATGAAGAATGATTGTGATCTTTGAAAAAGGTTAAGCACAGGGAAAATACAGAGCTGACGTGATTTACATCAAAATAGATCACCTTTGGAATTTTCAGCTACTCATCCTCTTTCAAAAGTCAGCCCGGGCCTCCTCCTGGAAACTGCACAGCCTGACCTCATTCATCTCTCACTCAGAATGTTTCCTGAAGACCCCACGTTGGAGACGGGGATGTGAGGACAGAGAAGCATAAAAAGTACCTTAAAAACACAATTACATTTCCTCAAAATGAGAAGGGCCAGGAGTCGACTAACCAGTCCTGAAGGACAGCCCTGGCAGGTGTCCGGCTCAGAGCCACACCTCCACCAAGCAGCCAGCACCCCTGGGGGACCGCCTGCCTGTGAAATTCCCCTCACAGACCAGCCAGCACCTGACATGCAGCATCTGGCATAAGGGCACTAACATTTTCCTTCTACATGTTTGTTCCCTGAGATATAATTCACATACATACTAAAAAATTCACCCTTTTGAAATGTACAACTCAGTGGTTTTTGGTCTATTCACAGCTATACAACCATCCCCATTGTTCACTTCCACCTTCTCATCACACCCGCAAGAAACCCTGCTGCCTCTGCAGTCATTCCCACTCCCCCTCTCCCGACCCCTGGCAACCACTGATCTAGGCTTCGTGGATATGTCTACTCTGGACATTTCACATAACTGGAATTATACAATACGTGATCTTTCCTGCCTGGCATCCTTCGACTCGGCATGATGCTGTCAAGGTTCATCAATGTTGCAGCACCCATCACACTTCACTGCTTTTCACTGCTGAATGATACCCCACTGTATGGATGGACCACATGTGCTCTATCCATGCATCAGTTGATGGACATCTCCTTAACTTTTTATTTAAAAAATCTTCAACTTACAGAAAAGCTGACCAAACAGTACAACATACACTTCTATACCCTTCACTTAGATCCCCAGTTCTCTTTTTCTATATATATGTATGAAATACTCTTTTAGGCTGAACTATTTAAAAATAAGTGGCAGCATCATGATATTTCACCCCAAAGACTTCATCATGAATCTCCTAATAATAAGGTCAATCTTCTCTTGACCACAAACCATTATCACACGTAGGAAACGTAACATCAATGCAATTTTTTTTTTTTTAAGATTTTATTTATTTATTTTTTCCCCCCAAAGCCCCAGTAGATAGTTGTATGTCATAGCTGCACATCCTTCTAGTTGCTGTATGTGGAACTCGGCCCCAGGATGGACGGAGAAGTGGTGCCTCGGTGCGCGCCCGGGATCCGAACCCGGGCCACCAGCATCGGAGCGCGCGCACTTAACCACCAAGCCACGGGGCCGGCCCACATCAATGCAATTTTATCTTATATGTGGTCTATAATCAAATCATCAATTGTGCCCAAAAATGGCTTAAAAAAAATCTGGGATCCAACCACAAAACACACGTGCCATTTGGTTGCCAAGTCTCTCTAATATCCTCGAATCTAGAGTGGTCCTCTTTTTTCCATCAAAGTGTCGTATTTGAAGAGATCAGGCCAGTTACCTTGTAGAACAGAGCATCCTTTTAACATCCACATTTAGTTACACATCAAGAGTGCATATTCTGCCATGCATTCTAGATAACCTCTACAGGACCATTCATTCTTTTAAGAAATACTAATTACTTGTCTCTCATCTACTGGAGAGCACTAACTCTTAACTTGCACTGCCTGGGTCCAAACCCATCTCCCTCGCTCAATGGCTGTGGCCCTGGCAGGTCAAACCCTCTAAGCCTCTGATTCTTGTAAAACAGGGACAATTACAGCACACAATTGTTGTGAGGCTGGGATAAGACAGTGTAGGAAGAGCACGCAGTACACTCTCGGGCATAACCAACTCATGTGGCCCCTCAGTTGTGCGGCCTGGTCTTTAAAGAGGGAGAACTGTGCTCCCAGTGCCGCGACTTCACTGCTGGCCTGTGAGCCGATGGCACCCTGAGGCCAAAGCCACACACCTGGGCCTTGAGATCCTCTCTACGCCCGACTGTGCTTCTGCTGCACCATCACGCAACGCCCATCTTGGTGCCATGGTTCAAATACAGATGAAGACATCAGACCTGGACTAAAACGCTGGCCTGACCACTCACTACCTACAGGACAACAAAGAAAGAATCTCTTTTTGCACCTCCATGTCCTCATCTGAAAAATGGCTGTAAGATTCACATGAGGAGATTCAAATGAGTTTGAGTACATAAAGCCCATTCTATGGTGCAGAGAAGGGAGAATTCAGGACATCCGGCAACTACTATTTCCAACAACATTATAAGGTATAACGGACAGCCTTACACAGGTATGGTCAAAGCTCAGATTCAAAGGACAGGCTCTTGTATCCTGGCTCTTCATGTACCAGCTCTCTAATGATCCAACCTCTCAAGCCTCAGTTTCCTAATCTGTAAAACGGGCACAATAACAGCAGCGGTGTCCTGTGCACTCACAAAGTACTTAGCACAGGGCCTGGTGCATAGCAAGCCCTCAGTGAATGTTAGCAATCATATGGGTATTTAGCACCTAAACCTAGGAGTTACTGTCCCTAGGGCTCACATATGATCCTCCAGCAATTCCTGCCCACTCTACCTCCATAACTTATCCTAAATCCACCCACTTCACTCCATGTCCTCTGCCTCCATTCTAGTCCAAATCTCCAGCTCTCACCTGGCCAGCGTAACAGACTCCTACCTGGTATGCTTACTGTCATCCCTTCCCATACAACCTAGTCTCGGTCATGACCACTCAATTCTCCTACTGTACTGTGAAAGCGGCTACAGCATAGGCAATATGTAAACAGGAATGCGTAGGACTGTGTTCCAATAAAACTTTATTTATGGAGATTGGAATTTGAGTTTCATATAAGTTGTCACAAAATATTCTTTTCACTTTCATCCTACCGTTTAAAAACCTAAGAACCATTATTATTCTTAGCTTGTGGGTCCTCCAAAAACAGGAAGTAGACCAGATTTGGCTGGCAGGCCACAGCTGCCAGGCCCCTGTGCTGGAAATACACATCAGATCACATTACTTCCTTGCTCAAACCCCATGAAGCCTTCCTACTGTATTCAAAACAGACTTCAAACTCTTTTACAAGTCTTAGAGGACCTGGCCCCTGCCTACCATCCCTCTTCCCACTTCTTTTGTCTTAAAATATACTTGACACATAAGCTTGTGTGAGTTTAAGGTGTACAATACTTGGTGACTTGATACATTTACGCATTGCAACATGATTGCCACTGTAGCTACTACAGCAGCAACGAGGGCGTCCCTGTCTTCCCGGCCCTAGGGCCTTCGCACTTGCTGATCCCCAAGCCCCAAAGCTCCTTTGACACTCTTCAGGTCTCCACTCATATGTCCCCCCAAGAGAAAGGAAGCCCTCGCTATTTGCAGCCACCCTCGTCGTCACTCCCCAATGGCCCCTTAGTGGAAAGCAGCTCATCCCCTCGCCATCACCCCTACGCCCCGCCCCGTGCGGACCCCTCCCCAGCGCCTACGGCAACCTGTCCTGGCGCTCGGCTTCACGCGTCCTCGCCCCACCTGCCGCCCGGCCCCTGCGGCCCCGCCCCGCGCGCGCTCACCTGGTCGGCGCCGAAGGGCGTGATGTTGGCCTTGACGGCGCCCACGCCCAGGCCGACGATCGCGAGCGCGGTCAGCACGGCGGGCGCGCAGTAGCGGGAGGGCTCGTCCGCGCAGGCCGGCGCCGAGCAGTTGCGGACGCGCGTGGGGCGCGGGGCCCCGCAGAGCGCGGCGCGCGTGGTGGGCGCGGCCAGCAGCGGGAAGGCCAGCATGCCGAGCAGGTAGAGCGCCAGGCTGAGCAGGATGGCGCGCGCGCGGCCGAGCCAAGCGTCGGCCAGCCAGCCCCCGAACGGCGACACCAGGTAGGTGAGGCCCATGAAGAGCAGCAGCGCCTGGCTGGCCTGCGCGCCCTCCCAGCCGAAGCGCGGCCCGTTCACGAACAGCACCAGGTTGGCCGTGACGCCGTAGAAGGCGGCGCGCTCCAGCAGCTCCGTCAGCAGCACGGCGCCGCACGCCGCGCGCCGGCCCGCGAACGCCTC